GTGTACACCTTCGAGAAGTAATCCGTTTTCATGAGATACCTGTAATCATTACCTCCGACCGGGTTAGCAAGTTTACCTCGAGAACTTAGCAACGTACATCCTGTCTTTCACGTCTCAAACCTAAAGAAGTGTCTGTCCGACAAGACACTTGTCATTCCCCTCGATGAGATCGAACTAGACGGAAGTCTACACTTTGTGTGAGAATCATCTGAACTCACGAATCGAGAAGTCAAGCGAACGAAATAAAGTCGCATCCCGATAGTGAAGGTTCGCTGGAATGCCAAGCGGGAACCTGAATTCACTTAGGAGCGCAAGGATTCAATAAAACAGAAGTACCCTCTTCTTTTCTAAGACCATAATTTGTATCTCTATTCTTGAATTTCGGGACGAAATTCCCTCTAACGGGGGGATGATGTGACAACCCGAAACTTTTCCCGTTATCCTTACCTAGTTTCTGTTAATAAAATTTGGGTTTTTATTTAATTCCGTCAAATTTCTTAATTTGGGAAGGACCTTAAATAAATAATATGTATTTTATACGATTCGAGATAAACCGGGAATCACGCGAAAAACTTGAAATTCCTCGAAAATCACCGAGTTCACGGTCAGTACGAGTTTACGACCGTAAACTCGTGTAGACCGTAAACACGTTTATGGTCAGGTGGACCCCCTCCCTTTGACCGAGAACTCTACCCTATATATAGAGTATTTGGCCTTCACTTCACACTTTAAACACTTCAAATGCTTTCTCTCTCTACTCTCTCTACCTTCATCGAGTTTCCTCCAAGATCTTCAAGTTATCTTCAAGAATCCTCAAGAACACCTTAGTGTTTTGGACCGAGAACACCTTCTTTGCCTTCAAAAACCGTAAGTATCATCTTCCCCTTCATGAATCGAGTTAAAATCCTTCATTTTGGACTTAAGATCATCACTCTTTGCATTAACAAAAGAGTTTACGGTCCTATGAATCTTCATAGACCGTAAACCCTTATAAAGGGTGTTCTTATAGCCTTTACCTTTCCTAAGGCTAAGCATGGTCCCTAAAATCCGATGCCTTTGAATGAAGCCCTTGCAAACTATCATTTGTGCAAGATTGATGAGTTTATGGTCTAGTGTATCTCCTTAGACCGTACACCCTTCAATGACCGTAAACTCATGGGCCGTACACCCTTCAATGACCGTGAACCCATGGAACCGTAAACCTTATGACCGTAAGGTCATTAGACCGTGAACTTCATGATTGTAAGGTCATTGGTCCGTAAACACTAAGGTCGTGAACACTTGAACCGTGAACTCCAATGGTCATACCTCTTTGACCGTAAACTCTATTGGGTGGCCATATACCCTAGTTATGCAATCATATGTGATTGTATCCCATAAATCTTAGAGTTTCCTAGCCAAAAAGGGTGTTACCCTTCTTATTTAGTCGCCTATACACTAAATTCATACACATACATGTTTATATGTGTCTATTAGGATTGTTGTGTGCTCAAGGTTACACCTGACACTCTGCACTCCTCTTCCAACCACACGTCAGAACCACTCAATTTAGGTGAGTTCATACCCCTACATTTTCCGTGTTTTTTAATGTTTTCAGAGGGGGGGGGGGAGAATACAAGCCAAACTCAAATTATTTTATTAAGTTTTAAACTTATTAATACAATCCAACGATTTCTATATTTAATAACATATTCGGATATTTTATCCCTTTTTAATATGTTAAGCATAAGGGAAACTTTTATATTGGAAATCTAATTTCATAGCTTCAGGAAAGGTTTTTACAAAGCATTTTCATATCAATACTATTAAACTATAATGGGTATAGTTTGGGATAACCCTCTAGGCAGTTTTGCTACCAAATCAGATTTGATGGATGAATATATATAAACTATGGCCGATTTAGTTTATGTTATATATTTTCTCAGGAGTATAAAGTACTATTATTCAAGGTTAATTATTGTTTTATACTGTTTCTCGCTAGTAAACTAGATTATACAGAATTGTGAGACTCTACTTCAATACAGTACCCTTTAGTGTACTGAACTAAATCCTATCATAGTATAACCAGAGTCTCCTGGAGGGAGAGCGTGAGATTTGTGAATAGATCTATTCGGGACTGACAATCCCACACCAAAACTGTTAGCTACAGTTAGGCAGGTATGCCTGTGGTGGACAAATGCCATTTAGCATAAATGCTTGAAGAACGTTATAAAGGTCTCTCGGTCATATCAAGTATGGTTATACGACTCACAAATAAGTATAAACTAACTTTGGTTTACGGACTCTAATCTTCATTTGTTTTATTTTGGGTAATAAAACTACTTTTATATATGCTAATAGTAATCAGGGATTTCTAAACTGGCATCTCTACCTCTAGGACAGATAACCTGCTTTTAAGGAAAATGTAGGGTTTTCCCAGGATAACACTGGCATTTCTAAAACTGATGATTTATCTTTCAACACTACTTTTTATAAGAAAATATGGGATTTACTTGAGGAACATTTTTCAAAAAGAATCAAAGAACCTTTTTCCTCCAAAACTAAATGCTTATGAACTCACCAGCTTTAGGCTGATACTCTTTCAAAACTGCTTGTATTCTCAGGGAATTAGTAGACAGGTACCTGCTGGATTTTGAGAAGCTGGAGCAATAAGAGTCTTATGTTTATATTTTACATACTTTTGATGTACCTAAAACAAGATTTCAAACTGATGTAAATATTTTACTTATATATGTATCCACTGTATTGGCTGTGTTGCTATGTTTCCTATTATTCATTGGTTGTGATGCTAAACATGACGTCCTCCGGCCCCGAACGTTTCCGCCGTTCCGGTTTGGGGGTGTGACAACTTGTGATCTAGATCATTCGATCCACACTTATATTTCGAGTTTCACTATTGAACATTATGACTCTAATGGAAAAAACAAAAAATTATGATATAACATGGTTTAATTTTTTATTTATATGATAAATAAGTTAATTTATTAATTTTAAACAACAACATGGATTTCATATTTATCAATGAATATTACTAATTTTTTAATTATACTTCGAATTTTATTTAAATAATTTATCAAATCAAAATGATAATTTTCATAGATTACATCAATTAACAAATAATGTAGTTTTAACTAAAATAATAAATGACTTCATTTTTCCTAGGGTTAATGACTTCAAAGGCTAACATATTTTTTTCGTTTTCATATTTAGACAACAATGTTTTTTTGTACATATTTGACTATTAACTTGTTTCAAGTGTTCAAAAAATGTTAATACTACTAGTTGCTAGAGGTAATACTACCTATTTTTCAATGGATGAAACAAGTTGAATGGTTAATTATGTATAAAAACATTATTTGTTAAATATGAATACCAATTAAATATGTTATCTTTATAAGTTATTAACTCTTTATTATTATTATTATTTTTTTAACAAATATGACGTTATACAATTACCAATGATTAGTTTATTTATTTCTCTGTTCCAAAAAAAAGGTTCATTTATTTGTAATTTGGTATGCTACTTCCTTTGCATTTGTTAACATTAGTTATTATCAATGTTTTAAAACCCAGGTCGACCCAGCTGGTTCAATCGGTTGGAGCGTGACCCGGGGTAGAAGGCGGGTCATTTGAGAACGGTTTTTTGTAAAAATATGGACTGCATCGAACCGGCCGGGTTTCCCCTAAACCGCGGTCGAACCGTTTATGTCGAACCGGTTAAAACCGGATTGACCCGTTTTAATAGGGCTTGGATACAAGTAGCGAACACCAAAACAATGAGCCGTTTGCGGCTTCTTCGGTTCTTCCTACTCCAAATCAGCGACAAATGCAAAACAAAGAAGGTGAGTTTTTCTTCTCCCGTTCTCCGATCGATTAATGTGATGCTTTCTTATCGACTTCTCCTATCGACTGTGAAGTCCGTTTCATCTTTTTCTTTTCCGATTTCATCTTTTAAAACCTGTTTTTGATTTCATTGTTTTGAAACTTGTTTTCTTTTCTTCTCCTATCGACTGTGAAATCTGTTTCATCATGGTTTGAAACATGTTGCAAAACAACCAGCGAAACCTGTTTTTGAATTGAAATAGGTGAAATCTGAAATCAAATTTGAAATGTTTTCTTTTGAAACATGTTTTCTTTTGAAACAAGTGACGGTTTTGATTACTTTACTGATTATTTATTGTTAATTGATCACTGTTTCAATGTTTCTTATTGAGTAGATTATGTAATTATGATCCAATTGACATATGTTTATTGATTATAACATTGTTTTTCAATGTTTAAACTTTGTGGACATCAAATTATTGATTTTATATGTCTATGCATTATGCAGGAAAATAAAAATATATGAAAATAAAAAAAGACCATAAACCGGATTGACCCGGCGGTTCAACCGGTTGACCCGTGAACCGGTCATCACACCGGGTCAACTAAAAACCCAGATTTTAAAACATTAGTTATTATTAAAAGATAGATACATATAATTGAGTCAAATGTATAGAAAATATGAAAAAAAAAAACAAAAACAAAAAAGAAGAAGCCTTTTTTCTAGGTCTAAGCCGGGCCGAACTAAACCCATAGCTGCAATGGCCATGTTTTCACCATGGCCGGTTCGGGTTTCTGGATACGGGCCGGAACAGCCCTTTGTGCAGCTCTAAGCCGACACTGACTAATAAAACAAAAAAAAAGCATTAAAATAGGTAAAATTATGATATTTAATATAAGTAAAAAAACACAGAAAGTAGTACAGCAGTGAAGCCAACATGGACAGCGGGATTTAAAACCCATATGTTCTGTTTTAGCAACATCCTACAATCTCTTGATTCTTCTTCTTATACAAACAAAAACAAAAACAAATCAATTTCCTCACCAAGTAGCAGATACAGACAGCTCGACCTACTTCAAAGTTCAAACAACCCTAGATAGAAAACAAACCACCAGCCACCTCACTTGACAACCATTAAACCCCCATTCAAAACCTTCAATCTTTTCTCACAGATTCTATGCAATCCTCGAAAAATATGCCACCCTTTTCACAGTCAAAGCCTCTCTCAAATGGGGTTTCCAAGAATCCTCACGATTTCACCAGAACAAACGTAGTCACCATTGATGTAGGTGGTCAACTCTTTCAAACAACCGTACAAACCCTAACCCTAGCTGGGTCCAATACCCTTTTCTCCAATCTCTTCAATTCTTCTGAACAGAACAGTTCAATCCCCTTTATTGATAGAGACCCTGAATTGTTTTCGATTCTTTTATCTCTATTAAGAACCGGGAATCTTCCATCAAAAGCCAAAACCTTTGAGATTCAAGATATTGTTTTTGAAGCGAAGTTTTATGGGGTTGAACATCTTCTTGTTCAATCTCAATCTAACCCTTCGCAATTTGAACCTTTTGATCTTGAAAAATCAATGATATTGCCTCTCAGTGGCAGAGATTCACCTTCTGCAATCACTACAACACCATACGGGTCAGTCCATGTCTCTCATGGCAGCAAAATCACATCTTTTGATTGGTCTTTACAAAGAAAGTCTACGACTTTGACCCAATTCACGGCTATTGATTCTTTATTAGCTTTATCATCAAATGTTGTAGCAGCTGGTGCTACTGATTTCTCCGGCTTGCAAATCATTGATCTTGAAATGGGTCATGTTAGACAAACCATAAATTGGGAAAATGTGACCAAATCTGGTTCAACTGTTCAAGCAATTGGAACTTCCCCTGAGCTTTTATTCACTAGTTTTGAGTCAAGTCGCAGGAATTCAAACTCTATATTGGTATACGACCTGAATGATAGCTTCAAAGTTGTATCAGAAATTGGGCATAATGAAATCTTTGGTGCTGATCTTGATTCCGCAATTCCATCAACAAAATTGAATTGGATTCCAAGTCTTAAACTGCTAATGGCTTCTGGGTCTCACAGTGGACCATCTGGCGTTTCAGGAAACATCAAGTTTTGGGATATAAGATCCGGGAATCTTGTTTCAGAAATAAAAGAGAAAGTCGATTGCTTTTCGGATATCACAGTTTCTGATACCCTTTCAGCTGTTTTCAAGATCGGAACAAATTCTGGAGAGGTTTCTTACATTGATTTTAGGAGCATTTTGTCTGATAATTCTTGGAATTGTCTTGGTGATTCAAGAAAAGTGATGAATGTGAAGAAAGAAGGGTATGGTTGTAAGATTGAAAGTCATGGGAATCAAGTTTTTTGCAGTAAAGAAGGTGAATTGGAGCTGTGGTCTGAGGTTTTGATGGGTTCTTTGAGAAATGCTAAAAATGGGAAAGAAGAAAGGGTCTTTAAGAAGAACATGTTGGGTAGGTCGAAGGATTTAGGACAAAATAGGATCACAAATCTAGGGTTTGGTGGAAACAAAATGTTCGTTACTAGGAAAGATCAGCAATTTGTCGAGGTCTGGCAAAGCTCTGTAAGAAGATTTTGATCATTTGAAGTTTCATATGATTTTGATCTTTTATGCGATCAAAAGAAACAAAGATATTGATTATTTGTTTGTGTACATTATCGTTTTTATAAGTCTTACTTTTTTTTTTAATTTGTGCTCGAATGTGTAGAGTGATGTGTAGAGTGATATGCAATTATGCATGATATCAAAATTTTTATTAGAAGTTCTAGAGTCGTTTTGAATCAATTTGATTTATATGTAATCCTGAATTTGTTAGGATGGATATTATGTTTACAGTTAATTTTTGTAAGTTTGTACAATATTCGTTGTTGTTAAAATTGTTATTATGATTAATGAATACAATACAATATATCCGTGGTTGCAAAATCGTCCTATTAGACTACCCATCAGCACTCTTCCTATTCTATACATATTTGCTTTGAAAAACTATAGAATGTCGGTAGAAACTAGGTAAAACCGTTAACTAAGACAGTTCACGAAGCAAATCTTTTTGATATTCAGTTAACACATTTAATTAGAAAAATTACAATGTGGGTAGATAATACGTGAAAACTTCAATAACGACACTTAACGAAACATTTTTAAAAATTCAAAAATCGGTTCTTGATTTGCAGAACATAATTTTCTAAACTCTAGCTACTTCATTTTGCACGTACAACATATGGATATAAGTATATTGTATTAAAACAACCTACGGTGTTATTACGAGTTAAGTAAAAACATTAATAATGACAATCCACGATCCACAAAGTGATTTAGGATCCATGAAGTACATATCGAATCAATGGTCATTGAAATTTCTGCATTCTCGATTTATATAGATTAAGGTCTACTTACTTTTCCAATGCATCCATTTACTTGTAGGAATTCTGTCATATAACGCTTGCATGGATGTTGTCATTTGTCAAGAGAGGTTCTGGTTGACGTTCGCAGAATAGTGCCAATAAAAGGTTAGAAAATGATTCTATATATGTTAGTACATATCCTCTTCGCAAGTCAAAAGTTAAATTTGTGGATCACATGGCCATTTTGTGATATATGCTGACAACATAGTTTTGTTTGGTGATATGATCCCCTCCATATATGATCATTTTACCGAATAGCTAGAAAAAAGATGTTATTTACTTATTTGATTAGTTGTAATAATACAACGGGATCCTTAAAGTTGCAGCCTAAGTTTACGGTTCAGACAAGACTTTTACTCGACAAAATTAGCAAAAACATGGAGCTTTTATCCACCAAACCAATGAATTCTTGAGCAACAATATGCCGGTTAGTACCATTAGTTTGTAATTCCTTAAACTTGAGTTTAAACTTTGCTCAAACATTGAAAACATCGTGCTCAATTCGAAGTAACTTGTGTTGTATCAACACATGAGTTGATATGTGCCTAGGCCTTATGTTTCATGAGCCATGGCCCATGGGTTAGCCCATTTAGTTTACAATGGCCCAAACTACACTTTTCTTAACAAAACTAAACGTGCTATGCATATTGCATAGTAAAAGTCTTGTACTGTTGTTGGACGAAGATGTTGGATCTTTTGTGTAAAACCAAATACTTTATTACTCCGTATATTGTTAATTAATCTATGGTGTCACACACAAGGTTCAATTAAAAACATGTGAAATAAATAATATATTTATAGGTAATAAATTTCTTATTTACAATCAACATAATCAATAAATAAAAGGATTTATTATATATTTATTTTAAAAGTTAAATTAATAATATTCTATAAAAAAAGTTAACTAATAGTTTAATATTAATTAAAAGTAATTAATTTGGAATTGAGTTTGATTAATCAAATTGGTTGAAAGGGATCTAGAAAAAGGCACCCATTTGTATTAGTATTTATAATATAAAGAATGTTTATTAGATTTTTGGTAAGTATTATTGAAAATCCTAATTGCCTTCGTCCTGCCTACTCCTTGTTCTTTAGAGTTTTGTGATTTACTAAGAGCACAACAAAGAGTTTGAAGTTTTGCTTGTGGATTAGAAGTCTAGCATCTGTTTGTTTTCCGCTCATGGAGATTGTAGTTTTGATCTTGAGTCACTACACCAAATGCCATACAATTGATTTGAGGTATTTTATAAATATCATTTGGTTGTGATTAGTCGAGTATTGTTGATTCGGTTGGATACTTATTGGGAAATTATTTTAAACCATTTTTCGTTATATTTGTTTGGTTTCAAAATTGTTTTGTATCTCATATTTCTCAATAGGTATATCAAAGTATCAAAGTTGTTTTTGAATCATAAATTTTAAATAATATAGATACTTCAACCTTTAATGTATTAATTAAATATTCACTTGTTAAATATTTTCTTTTATAAACCTCATGTATGATTTATAAAAACTAGTATATTTTGGTTTTTTCCGGTTTAACCATCAGATTTTTTTTCTTGGTTTTACCACCAAGAGTTGTTGGTTAATTTTGATAACCAAAAGATAAACGTAGAAACATAAACTTTTGATCTTTAATCTCAAATCTGATTAAAAGAAAACTTAAACATGAAAGAACGATTACATACCTATTTTAATATGATCTTCGGATCTGAACAACTAGGTTGAGTTTTCTAGTTGATCTCAAGACAACCTTGAAGAACCCTTAGCAATCAAAAAAATGAATTTGTGAAGTAATTTCGTGTCTCTTGATTTGCTCCTCATCACTGTATTTATAGACGGAGATAAACCAAAAAGTGAGAGATGGAAGAGATCTTGAGTCAAACCGGGAACTCAAGCCACAAATGGCAAGTGAATATCGGTCCATCAACAATCTTATATACTTACCATAATATTTCTGAATTTAAATGATAACAATATATATGTTCATTTATAGAATGGTCCCATAATTTTCTAACAATCTCCCACTAAACCATGAATATATAAATGTACATACAACCGTATAAGCGCTTTAATGTATGTTATCATTATATCGGTACCCTTATAAAATCTTGTCCATTAATTATTATAGTATAAGATCGAAGCGGTCTTTGTTACAATTTACGTAACTAAACCCATCAATAGTCACATATACATATATAACTAACGACATAAATTAAACATGATGCGTGGTTTAAAAAATCAAAAATAATTTCCGATGAGTTCCTTTTTAGCTTGAAGTGAGATCAAACTTCAAATAAGTGCAAGTAATAATGGAATGAACTGAATCCTTACTATGTACAGAAAAACATAATTATTTTAAAACAAAACATAAAGCATCATAAAACTCCCACTAAAACCAAATATCACACCAATGTGTGTAGTATGCTTATGAAAGACCTAGGGAGGTAGTCATTTTATGAGCGGATCCGCTTTCATGGAGTTTGTTCATATGTGCTATATATATTTCCATTTTGCACTATTGTGTTAACAGAAAGAAACTTAATGTCAATATGCTTTGACTTAATAGAACTTCTGTTGTTGGAATATAACATTGCTGACTTATTATCACAACTTTAGTGGTCTTTCCATACCAATAATGTGTAGCCTCGTGACAAATTTCCGCAACCATATTCCATGCTACAAATTATGATGTCGTTATGGAAGACGCTACCGAAATCTATTCCATGAAATGGCTCATCATGTTAAAATGTAAAAGTATCGTAATATGGATCAGTAACCATTTTGGCATCTAATAAAATCAGATTTTTTATAAAAATGATCTCCAAAACATCTGATTTCCTATAGTTAAGCATGTATCCTTTTATTATATATAGATATCTCAAAATCCATTTGGTTGCTTTCTTATGATCCAAACTTGGGTTGCGTAGATATCTGCCCAAAAGCAGAGAGATAAATTTACTCTAACTTAATCTGTGATACACAAAATCATCTACTGTATTTACCTCAAAACCAAAAGAGATAATAAAGTGATGAAAAATATGGTACCACTCATAGGATATCCAAAATTGAGGTTGTTGAGTTTGTGTATTCAGAATAGGAGATTAAATAACATTGTCGATCACTGATTCATAATCTACATACTATCTAAAGTAATAATAGGAATCAAGATTGACTCCTTCTTAAGGACAATGTTTTAACCTTGTTTCTCCCCCGAACTCAACATCCTTAAAGAATGTTGCTCTATCCAAAATGCAAGGTCAATATCCATGCAATTGAGAACTAATATAATGTCTTTATTCCATTCCTTAAAGTTAATATCATTAAGTACATGAATCATAAATGTGATAAATGTTAGCAGATATAATACCATAATTCAAATATGTTGTTTTGAGAACATAATCAAATCTATTTTTCTGCTCATTAATCCATAAACCGTAATCAATAAATTCAATTTATGACATCATTACAAGGTATCAACACAACATTAATATCAAGTCTTTGGACAGTAATACTAACTTGCAAGAGATATCCTTGTTGTAGAGATAAACATTGACAATAAATCATATCAATTAACAAGCCTTTCTTTGGATTGACTTATTAATCACATGGAACCAAAAAATTGTTACATGTTTATCACCGCATATATGTTTATTTGGCCAAATATCAGTCTACCTTTGGGTCGACTAATACCCGCATTAATAAACACATAAACTATAAATTTTGATAATAAGAATTGACAATATATCATGCCAATTAATAAGCCCCTCTTTGGATTGACTTATTAATGATATGCAACCTAAAAATTGTCGCATATTTATCATCAAACATGTGTTTATCCGGCCAAATATTAACCTATATTTGGGTCGATTAATATCCACATTAATAAACACAAACGATAAAATTTAAGTTCTTTATAAATTAATTTTCACAAAAGAGATCACTTTGGCGACATATTGTGCTAATTAATTTACCCTTAAAATAAATAATATGTCATAAATGAAATTTATCAATAACCAAAAATACGTTTATAAATTTCCATAAACGCTGTCACATGTTTTTGTACAGTTTTTAAATTTATCAATAACCAAAAATACGTTTATAAATTTCCATAAACGCTGTCACATGTTTTTGTACAGTTTTTTTCAATAATTTTAAATACTTACTCGCACC